CAAGCGCCTCTGCGTTTCCGTCCGATAGTAGCTGTCTTTTCATAAGCTCAATTAAGTTCAGTATGGCGAATGAACAACAGGAAACTTAGCTATGCTACTCTAACGACTAACAAGTGGAACAGAACATGAAGTGTCAACATCATGAAAATTGCTAGAGTTAATTGTCGAAATTGTTTACTTTTCATGGATTTTGTAGGGTAATTCTTCTTGGGATTCAAGGTCCAACGTGGTCACACGAAGTTAACTGGTTAAGCCTTGTGCTCCGAATTGCAAACTTTACACCAAGTGAAGAAGCGTTGTTTTATGGGTGTTGTAATCCGCCAAGTTCTTGGAGTCTTTAATTCACGCGTATCCACCGGATTCAGAACGACTAAGCCGGAACGGGAAACATCATTTGCGATCCAAACATAGATCCGTATCAACAATTCAATTCGCTCGGAAGACTCTGCGAAATAGCCTTAACTGACACAAGCACACATGCATAATAAAATGAGACCATTGGTGGACTGAACCTTTATCTTGCGATGCCCCGCCTCTCCAAGCGTCATGCTAATATTTAGCAGCTGGTCGAGATATGGTCATGTAATTCACATATCAATTTTAAGGAGCAGAATCTACGTAGAAAAAGAGATAGAGGCAGCGTCGAGTAGTCTGGTAAACAATATCACGGAGCTTACATAATGATGTGAATCACGGACGAGTGATGATAAGAAGAGGAGGCCAAACCTCACTGCCTCGGCATGTCTGGTGAAAGGTTAGCTGACCTGAAAAAAAATGAAATGTGTCAGCTTATACGCCGTGACGGCGCTTCGCTGCCGCGCGACCAGCACCAGTCGCGCGCGGGCTTAGTATACCGCGAGGACGCCCACCTCTACGCGGATTCGAACCGGTGACCTTATGGTTGCAAAGCAAACGTGCAGACCACTCCGTCACCGGCCGACGTTAGTTGACCTAGATTATGCGGACGATATCGTCTTGCTTTTAGACGATGTTGCGGCGGTACAATCAACCCTGAATAGCCTGTCCAGAGTGGTCCCATTATTTGGTATGCACTTCGCACCTTCAAAGTGCAAAGTGTTGCTGCAGAACCTCCAGTCACTTGATGACCCCTTGACGCATGCTAAGGAGGAACTCGAGGTGGTTGACCATTTCACTTATCTTGGCAGCTGCATCAGCAATGATGGGCGCATAGAAACTGACGTCAGCTCACGCATTGCAAAAGCCAGAGCTACCTTCTTGAACCTGCAGCATCTTTGGCGACAGAAGGGAGTTCCCCTCCGTCTGAAAGGCCGTGTATACAATGCCACAGTGGGGGCCGTTCTGTTCTATGGCAGTGATACTTGGCCACTTCGGTCTGAAGATCTGAGGCGCCTTCAAGTCTTTGATCATCGTTGTCTGCGAAGCATTTCTGGAGTCGGATGGCACCAGCGTGTCAGCAACGATGATGTGAGTAGGCGAGTACTAGGTGGTGATAATCATGCTAGCTCCCTAGAACAACAGATAGCACTGAATAAGTTGCGTTGGCTCGGGCACGTGCTACGTATGCCTGGTCACCGCTTACCTAGTAGGGCGTTGCTTAGTCTGCCAGGTGTAGGGTGGCGCAAGGCTCGAAGTGCACAAATGCTGACGTGGCAGCGGGAAATGAAGCCGTTGAGTGCCGTCGGTCCGTCTCGTCTTCTGGGCTGGAGTTTCAGTGACTCGCTTTGTGTCTGGCACGAGACTTCATAGGACATTGCTCGCAGCCGACACCAGTGGTGGGTCTGCTGCCTCCTCCTAGTCGGACTACCTGTTTAAAGTGTGTTTGGTGCTGAGTTATCTGCGGGATAATGGCTGATTATGACGCGTGGCAGTGAAAGCCGCAAGGAAGCCGTCTCGCCGATGCCGCCTTATCTTTGCACGACAGCCAGCTGTTTGTGACGATATATTGCTGACACAAGTTGTAGGCGCCTTGACCTTGAATGTTTGCTTAGAGCATTAAGGTTTTCAGGTAAGTCCCCCTTCTATCACGCTTATTATTCTTTATTTCATAGGTCATCATGGTTGTATGGAAGTGAAGCACCCGTTTAGATGGTTGATGTACTGCTGTTGTTGATCATCATCATCATCATCAACAGCATTACTTCAGTCATTTGAACTGATGCTTCGCTGCCATACAACCATGAGGACCTATGAAATAATAAATAATAAGCGTGATAGAAGGGGGACTTACCTGAAAACCTTAATGCCCTAAGCAAACATTCACGGTCAAGGCGCCTACACCTTGTGTTAACAGCATTCCGTCACAAACAGCTGGCTATCGTGCAAAGATAAGGCGGCATCGGCGAGACAGCTTCCTTGCGGCTTTCACTTCCACGCGTCATAATCAGCCATTACCCCGCAGATAACTCAGCACCAAACCCACTTTAAACAGATAATCCAATTAGAAGACGGCAGCGGACGCGCCACTGGTGTCGGTTGCGAGCCATGTCCTGCAAAGTCTCGAGCCAAGCACAAGGTGAGTCACGTGGACTCCAGCCCGGAAGGCGAGAGGGACCAACGGCACCCAGTTTGGTCGTCAGTGACTTCATTTCCCGCTGCCAAGTCAACTTCTGTCCACCTCGAGCCTTGCGCCATCCTACACCTGGTAGACTGAACAAGGCCCTCCTAGATAAGCGGTGACCAGGCATGCGTAGCACGTGCCTGAGCCAACGTAACTTATTCAGTGCTATCTGTTGTTCTAGGGAGCTAGCATGATTATCACCACCTAGTACTCGCCTACTCACATCATCGTTGCTGACACGCTGGTGCCATCCGACAATAACAATGCTTCGCAAACAACGATGATCAAAGACTTGAAGGCGCCTCAGATCTTCAGACCGAAGGGGCCAAGTTTCACTGTCATAGAGCAGAACGGCCCTCACTGTGGCCTTGTATACACGGCCTTTCAGACGGAGGGAAACTCCCTTCTGTCGCCAAAGATGACGCAAGTTCAAGAAGGCAGCTCTGGCTTTTGCAATGCGTGAGCTCACGTCAGTTTCTATGCGCCCATCATTGCTGATGCAGCTGCCAAGATAAGTGAATTGATCAACCACCTGTTGTTGATGATTATGCCTCATGCTTTCGGCAGCTGGCCGAACAATACAACCAGTGGGGCAGTAGGTAAGACTTCATAAAATGCTTAGTTTAGGAACAAAAGATAGTTTCTTTGTTTTTAGGAGTCTCACAAGTGTACACAAAGTACTCTTCCGCTGTGGAGGAAGGGATGGCGACTTATAGGCACGAAAAAGAAATTAATATGCTTGGGATCGGTAATAGGAAGGATGACGTTCTCGCAACAATATCTTCGAATCCAATTTGGAAGGGCTAAAGTACTGGAAATTCAGCTTCTCAGAGTTTACTAGTTTTCGAGATTTAATCAAAAGCAATACCCCGCATATTTCTTTTCATTTATACCGTTTTCTCTTACCCTATGGCTTCCTTTGTCGGTCACTCGGTCATTACAACTTGGTTTCAGACACGCTATACTTTGAATTTGATAATCGATTCTTCCTCCGATTAAGTGGCTGTCAAAGGCTGTTTTGTTAGCTTGTTTCTTGTTGTAGGCGCAGTGAAGTGATTGATGCGGGCGATTATGTGAGGTTATTTCGATCTGTAACATAAAGTAAGTACCGTGTCGAAGACATACAGTCCCTGAAGAGGTAATCCTGCAGCGCTGAGTTAGTTTGCTGTCGTGAAAGTCTGATTTCCTCCATGAAAACTTAAGATTATCTGTCTCAGGATCGATTACGAACGCCAAAGATAGACGTAGTTTAAGTGCAAAACTTTGTGGTACGCCACAACGAAGATACACGAGGTTAAAAAGCGTGCTACAATTGCTGGCATTCAGATGCCGAGGACAATCTAAATTAGGACGGGGTCGCCTCTTCCATAGCTTTGAAAGAGCTCGGTAATCTAGATGGTCATATGACAGAGAAATCCAAATATGAGGTAACTACAAAATCAGTATTGATAGACTTTCACAAGGTTGCAGAGACTGTCAATTAGCACAACATGTGTAACCGATAGTAGCAAAATCCACACTGTTTCTGCGCGAGTTGCTGAAGTGTCCTCGAGAAAACTGATGAAGAAGACATCAGCAATACACCGGTAGGCAATACTGACGTTCCGCTGCCACGCAACCACCACCGGTCGCACCCGGGCTAAGGATAGTAAAAGGGTCGCGCTGACCCTACGCAGGCTCGAACCTGCGGCGCAGGGTTACGAGAAAAGTTCGTTACCTCTAGGCTACAGACCGGCTAAAACTGAGGACCACGGAAGTTGCATCAAAAGACGGAAATTCACAGGAGCATTACAATTATCAAGTAGTAAAAGAAGTGATAAAACCACGCACGTACCACTCCCCCATGGGTGAGAATAATGGGTGGCATCCTAAAAGGTGCAGCACGAAACCCATTTCAGTTCCGTCGTAGAAGTGAAGGGCATCAGCAGTACGCCAATAGGCAGTACCGACGCTACGCTGCCGCGCAACCACAACCGGTTGCACGTGGGCTAAGGATACTGCGAGGGTCATTGTGCTTCTTGGCAGGCTCGAATCCGCGCCGTAAGATTATTAAACAAGCTCGTTACCTCTAGGGTACGGGCCGGCCCGTCGTAGAATCGGCGCCATCAAAGGTAGATGAACGATACTTGGTCTATCGACCATGTTTTGAATTTCCCTGGGTAAGACGGACAGCCGCTACCGATGCGCGACATAATGGCGTAAGAGTATAACTCGTATTCAGCTGCTGCATAAGATAAAGACAAAGAGCTGTTGGGCGTCACTCGAAACTGTGGGATGTGATGATCCGCGATCATAAATCGACTGCTAAGTGTCTAACTAGGATGGAAAATAGAAGCCATGATGTGTTGTTTCAAGTGCGAGTTGCAGTATCGTTCCCGCAAATAATTTCGTCTGATCAAGGACGAAAAACAAGCAAAGAATTTCTTGATATTAAATGTACCACAATTTTGGGAAGAGTTACCTGATTTCGGCGACTGCTGGTGTGCGGACCCAGCTAGTTTGAAGAGTGACATTAACCTTGTGAATCTTGCAATTTGCAGTAATCGTGAAACAGAGCACCGCCAGAAAGGAAATCCCGATCATCTGAAACAGACGGTAATTTGAAAATTCATCAAAGGCAGCCATGAGTGAGAATCAGTGGAGAAGTTGTATTAGCTACATGTTGACTAAAACAGACGTTGCTAACATGAAAACGGATAACGTAAGTGCAGAGGAAAACAAGCAAAACCCAAAAAGAAAAGCAATTGAGTAATCAGTGGATGCTCTCAAACTTTGAAAGGAAGTCAGGAAAGACATAAGAGTGGACACTGCTTGGTACAACGAAAGGCCCTTAATGTGAATGGCCGACGTTGATTCCCAGGCAAGAACAAAAAGGGAAAACAATCGGCTGAAATTTACAATCGTAATAACTCGAATAAACTGCCCCTTCTGAAAGCAGTTCCTTTTCAGATAGAACAGAAAAAGTAAACAAAAAGCGTATGAGGAACACCATACGAAGTTTGAAAGTATATGCACGTACAAGTCGGAGGTGAAATATAAAGAAAGATTGGCAATATCCATTCTGGCGTTGCAATGATCACTCAGCCAAGAAACAAATGCGTTCAAAACTAAACTGAGCATCAGCAACTTCGTCCAAGTTTCATTTGATGAGTTGTGAATTAGATGGCGATAGGCACCAATTCTGAGTACGATCAAATCCACAGCGATAATAAACATATCATACTCCAAGTATTTGTCTGCGATGTTCCCGCAAACGTCACAAATAACCATCCTGATTATGTCACCTGCGTACTGTGTATAAAGAGAAGGGACAACAGAGTTGCAATTAACGCAGCGGAACCGACGCATAAATCTGAAGGTCACGTGAATTCGAAATCGTTAACCTTACGTGTTTGTGACCAATTGATAACGAAAAAGTATAGTTAAAACGGCAATGCAAGGTAGAAGAGTAACAGCACAGGTTGTGTGTTACATAGCATATGCATTAAAAACGTAATATACAGGTATTACTGTAACGCGCTGTTAAATAGTTTCCATTTCATGGTGTACTCAAGTTCAAGTTCAAGTGGGACTGGAACGATGTGATGAATCCCGTACGTTTACCTTCTTGAGGGAGCCGTCGTTCCAGGAGTTAATAGTGCTGCTCCGACTTCTTAGTAGGTCTAAAACGAAACCGCCCAAAAACTCCCCTGTCTACCAATTCAATGACCACATACATTAGCTCTCCCTGCAATCTTACATTTGTGAAGTAAGCGAGGAATAAAAATCGTGGTAAATTGCAAAGGAAATCCGTTAAAGGAAGAGGATAATACCAATGGTCATGGAAAATATAGAAGATGGAATGAAAGTTTGAAGTTTAAGTATTGGTCATGAAAAACAAAAGGTTTCGCGTTGTTACTCAAGAGCAGCTAGTTGACGCGCAAACCACTTAACCGTAGTTTGATTGACAACAGTTTCTAGAAGCAGATTTCAGAGCTGGATTACTCGAAGCGCTAACCGTGTCTGTGCTATAATTCCAGCGGACCGCTGTTTGTCCAGCTTCATAAAATGCCTGCGGAGACCAAATAATCTAGCAGGACTTAATAGCCAGGACAAATCAGGGCCAACCTTCCCAGTCAAAATACCGTATGTTAGGACTAGGTCATCTCAAATCCCTCGATAGTGAATTGAATGCATCCCCCAACTAAGTAGGCGTTCGGGGAATGTCTGCCCTTGTAACCCATCGACCAACCTAGTACCGACACGCAACAACCATTCTAGTGCTATTTTGTCCCCGTCAAGGCATGGTGGACAGTCCTAGACGCAATTTCCTAGGTTTGGTAGCACAAAGGTTGAGAAGGGCTTGGCAAACATATCTACGGTTAGAGTCCAGAAAGAACGACGGATAAACCATAACCTATGGAACCCTAGGCTATCCGCCTTCTTCCAGTTGGCACCAGACTGTAGTATGGAACAGTGGGCGACACCTAGAGCAACCTGGTGAGTCACGTGAGGTAGTTCACTCCCACCTAGCACATAAGTTGTGGAGAAAACAGACGCCCTGACACGCAGAACTGAACCCTACCCGATTTCTGGGCAGCAGCCACAAACCAGACCATACCTAGAGCCTATCCAGAGTCCGTTGCAGAGCCACAGGACCTACAGGGATAGCAACAATATTCCAGCGGTTTAGTTTCTCAGCAAATAAGAGCGACGGTACCTCAAGCTTCCTTGGCGAGTCACGCACGTACACTGAGAACAGCAGTGGACATAGGACAGGGCCCTGCGGAAAGCCCCTAAGGACAGCTTATCGGAAGGAAAGACTGCTTCCCACATGAATACCCTGTTCACGTCCATTCAAAAAATCTAACACCCAATGGAGAGCGCGACCAGATATTCCATACGACCTCAACTTCCTTGAGCGTCGCGAATGGGGGACAGTGTCAAAGGTTTTGGCGAAGTCAATGAAAACCATGTTCACCGCATGTTCACTGTCTACGGCCTCTGGCCAACTGTCACACGCTACCACCAAGTTTATTTGACGCGGAAATCCTTTGCGAAAACCATGTTGCTCGACGCTAAGCAGGATAAACATATTCAACTTTTTCTCCACTACATCTCGTAATAAATTTTCAAGTAATTTAACGACCATGTTATTCAAACTGACAGGCCTGTAATTAGCGGGGAGGTCTTGGTCACCGCACTTGAAAATCGGGCAGACAACAGCCTTCTCCGACTTGGTAGGTAATACACAGCTGTTGAGTGTCTTCTGAAACACACGAGTCCGAGGTCCCCGGAGTCCCACTGCAAATTCATGTCTGAAATTTGGATGAACAGAATCTGGCCCGGAAGCCTTAGTTGGATTAATCTCTCTTAGCAACCGGAGAACTTGAGACTCAGTTACATGTATTTTATCCAGAAAACAGTCTTTAGAGGCTAGAAGCTAATTCATTGCCCGGCGTATTTGTTCCAGGAAAAATGCGCTTAAGTGCAGTTCAGCAAGCACGCATTCTTTGTCATAGTCACTATAGGCTTGGGCCCCGTCTCCTCGAAGCAATGATGGCACGGGCAAGTTTGCATCACAGCGACGTGTAACCTAAGCGAAGAATTGCTTGGGATTTTTCGAGGTGGAGTCGGCTAAGCCCTTATCATACTGAAACTGTAGCTTGCACTTATTTCGAACCAACCGTTACTTGTTAAACGTGTTGTCCGACGGGGCTGTTCGGTTGGCTCGCCAGCATCTAGACCGCTTCGTTAGCAGGCCCTTCCCCGCAGTAGCCTTCCACGGAGGCTGCGTTCTCGATTCCCTACTTTGTACCAGTGGGATATGAGGTGCAGAAATATCTACCAGGTGGGCCTTAAGTTTTTCCCAGGCTAGGTGAACAGTGTCGGTCTCAGATATCACAGAAGGCCATGACGCAGCTATTTGCCGCATCACTTGGAAGCCCGCGGCCCAAATGTTGGGGTACCAACTGGTGATGGCTTACCAAGGCCTGATAGGGATACACTGGAAAGGCAAGCAAAAGTGATCGCTTGCGCCAAGAGGCGCGTCGTGAGCCAAGTCATTTACAAGGTCAAGTGACTTGGCAAAATCAAGCTCTGAAATGGACGGCCGCTGATTGCTCATGTACCTAGTGAGGAGGTCCAAGAACTGGTGTAGTGGTACCTGCCGCGTTAAGTCCAGCAGTTCCGTACGATCCCAAAGCCGAACGGCAGGATAGGTCATCACAACACACCGCTGGGATGTCGAATCCTCCCAGCACCAGACACTTATTCGCAGAGTGAGTGCCTATGAACTCAATGATTCCATTTGACCAGCTCATGGGCTTCTACAATCTAACACGACGATAACCTGAACCGAACAACCTCCTCGTGGTGCCTGCTGGGTGGCTCGGGTGAATCCCGTTCCAGCAAATGGTTCGGCGACAGTGTTCCAGCATGTGGTGGGATTTCGCCTGGCGAGCGTTCTCCTTATTAAAAACCGCAAGTATCCGTTTAACAACACTGTGACGTGGCGGATGTGACTCGCCACTAAATAAAGTCACTGCCTCGTCCCATTTCCGGAGGATTACTCACATGTCACGGACGTCATCCGATCCAAAGCGTTCCGTTGATTTCCCCTTCGACGGCGAACACAACGAACAAAAGCACGCACAGCCACATTTTCCTGCTCATACAACATGTCCCCTTCCAAATACAGAGTTAAACATAGTTTTACATCTCAACACACAAATTCCTACGCTATTGGTCAAAATGTTTAATTTGTGCAATTGTCGATCATACATTTCTGTTAAACCATGATAATGTTTTTGATGGTGTGCCTCGCAATGACGAGAATAAACTATTTATTTATTTATTTACATTGATCCTGCGAGAGCATCAACGGATTTGTCGAGAGACTAAAAAGCGTTGGTCCTCAATACATCGACGTGATAGCTCACATAAAGAGTTACACCGCCCCCTTGACGGTCAACGAAGCGGTCAGCGCGGAACAGTGCGTAGCCAGGCAGATACACTTCGCCACCTGTGATTTCCTCAGACCGCCATTTTTCCGTGAAAGCAAGTGTATCGGACGAGATTTGTCTACGAGCGGGCCCACCTGGCACATCTTGTTCCTCAAGCTACGCAAGTTACTATGTACTACTTGGAGGACTTCGGCATGACCAGCACTGGGTTGTGCGCCAGAAAAACAGGTGTTGGCAGGGCAGAAAAGGACCGCCGGCTTACCACCTGAAACCCACCAACCGGTGACCTTGCCCGCCACCCGCTCGCCGAGCTTTAAGTATCTGATGGCTATTTTAACTGACCTACCCGCTAACGGAAGGTCTGGTTACACACTAAGGTTTGTACCTTTGAGCTTAAAGTTAAGTCGGAGTAAGGCTCTGCGCTCTTCTGTGGTGGAGAGGACCACCCTAAGCAGAAGTAGAGGGTTTGCTTGACCAACCGGAACGTCCCCTAACCTGCTGAGCCTCGTGATAGTAACGCCGGGTATACCTTGTAGTACTAGCCAAGTCACGGAGAACTAAGCCAACCTAGCTCACCAAGCATGCGCTTCGTGGGAAGAGCTGCCGTGGATTTAGTGACGTTACTGGAAAGCGCAATGC